AATCCCCCAAAGGGAATGTGTGACCCAGCCAGATGCTGAAGGTTACTCTGCTTGGTGTGGTGAAACCATAGGCTGACACATCACTTACATGTATGCTTGTTTTTCCTAAGCATGAGAATTGCCATTGCTGAAAGACATGTGAAATGTTATTTCTTCGGCTTTGCAATCACCCTGTGGATGTTTCAATTTCCCTTGGCGCACGAACACTATGTGAAAGCAAATTGGGTACTTTGCAATCTGACCAACCTTAAACAAAAACACCTTCTGATGCTCACGTCTCTTTCTCTTCCTTCTGCTCAAGTTAACTTTTAAAATCTATTTCCTCTCCTTGCATTTACTTGTCAACTGTACGCTAAGTAAATTCCACCCATATGGCTTCCTCAGAATCATTATTCCAAAGACATGCACGGTAAGTGGTCGATGAGCATTGCAGAGACTCCCAGGTCTAGTGCCTATCTTGTTAGGACCTGCAGCATTGGCCTTTCTCCTTTTTTCAACTCTCATGCTCTGATTTGGTGACACCACCACCTCCTCCTCTCTTTCTTATCAAGCATTGTCTGCCTTCTGAGTCTCCACCCATGGCCTTCAGCCTAGAAGTCCTTGTTGCTGCTCCAGTTTCCTTTTGCTTTCCAAGTAACTTTCCAGTTTATACCTCATGGCTCCAAGGATAATCCAGGTGCTCACAGCTTCCCATCTACATTTTCAGCCAGGTCTCTTCTGTTCCCAGTCTCTAGCCCCACCGTGCCCTCCATCTGATGCCTTGAAAACACATGGAAGTCAGCATTTTACCAAGCACATCATTCTGCCCAGCAGCCTTCTCTTGGGAATCTCTGACACAGGGAACAGCATCCTACTATCTTACTGCTCAGTGATAAGTCCAAGGGGAGTTCACTCTTCCCTTCTTCCATATCTGATCTATAATCAATACCGATCATTCTGTTTCCTAAGTATCTTCTGGTTTGTTCATAGTCGTCAGCTGCTACTGTCACTATTTTCGTCTAGTCTATCTTCCCTTCTCCCCAACATTATAATCAACCACCTGCTAGCTGGTTTGCTTGCTACCAGAATCAAGAGGAACAATTAATGTGACATTTGATGCAACATTAAGGAGGTGTCTTCTTAATTCTATCCCAAGTAAATTCTCTTTCATTGCAAACATATATGTAGATGATGTGACATTATAAACTTAAAAACAACATTTGGTTCCATGCCAAGCTTTTCCCATGGTATAGAGACTGACCTTTTAAAAATGCAGTGCAGTCTTCTGAGAGGTTGTGTGTGTATGTGCATGTACCTGCATGTGTGTCCAGGTGTGTGTGTGTGTGTGTGTGTGTGTGTGTGTGTGTGTATGCGCGTGCGGGTAAGCCAGAAGTCAGTCTTAGGTGTCATTTTAGGATGCTGTTCACTTTGCCTTTTAAGATAGGACTCTTGCTGCCATGGAGCTTTCCAATTTGGCCAGGGGGGCTGGCTACCAAGTCTCAGAGATCTGTCTGTCTCTGCCTCCTGGGATTGTGAGTGTGCCACCACATCTGGCTTTTCAATGTGGGCTCTAGGGAATGTACACAGGTCCTCATGCTTGCATAGCAAACACTTGACTGACTGAGCTATCTCCTCAAGTCCTCAAGGATTGTTACTGCTTTAGGATAAAGCCCAGGCTCCTTAACATATCCTGATCAGTATTCAACACCATTCCTTGCCCACCTCTTCAGATCCCATTCCCCTCTGCCTCCAAACCCTCTTGAAGCCAGCAACACTTTCAAACCATAACCTGTTTTGGAGGCTATCCATTTTAATCTTCTCTCTTCTCTGAGCTTTGTGCCACTCTGTTCTGTTGGCCTGGGCAGCAGACTTGATTGTATTCATTGTCTTACTCCCTGGTTAGTCATCCAATTCTCCAGAAAACTCTCCCTGTGACTTTTAACTATGTGGTTTGTCTCCTTTGCATGCTTGGAGGCTCTGTGTATCTCCTCTCACAGCACGTATGCTTTCTCACACTCGCTAGCCTAATTATGTGCTCTTCCCTCAAGACCATGACCTTTAGAGGAGGGAGGGGTACGAGTCATGCTTGTCCTCGATATTCAAAGTTCATGGACAATGGCCTGCATATAAATAAATGAAGCATGCTAAGTTGGGGTTCTTTTTGAATTTCCCATGAGTTACAGAAGTCTAAAAACCTAGGTTCTCAGGAAGGAGGAGACACCATTACTGTTAGGAAAATGGAGACATGGAACTCTAAAATGAGGGTGCTAAGGCCCACAGCCCGCTCTCTTTCTCAGTGCTATCCATCAGTCTAATTTGTTCAAGCCATCAGGGAAAAACGCATACTCCCAGCTCATCAGCTGCGCCAGTGACGGTCCACAGAGCTTGCCTGCATGACAGGCAGCCCTTGCCTTTATGGAAAAGGATGCTTCTACCTACTACCAATGCACTGCAATACCACACAACAAAGGAAGGTCAAGGCAAGCCTTCATTTAATCTTCTCTCTGCTCCAAGAATAGCAAATGTACATCCCTCAGTCATGTGGCTTGCTAGGAATACCTAGCAGAGAAGAATTAGTGGTCTAAGACTAGTACAGGGGCTTTCCACCTTGAGCATCAGGAACAGACTTCCACAAGATCCCAGAAGTCTATATAGTATCAGGTTCAAAGCCATAAATTAATACACGCTTCAATAAAGACTGTCATCCCTATCCAAGGAGTTTTATCTAAAAATATGGGCTTGCTGGAAGAAGATGATGATGTCAACAGTGACTCTGGGTCGTGGGTGTTCCAGCTTTATGTACAAGGGGCCTCCGGGAGCAAGATGAAGTCACTGCCTCCCAGGCCAGGGTTAAGGGCTTGCTGCTGCCTCACTGGAGGCTCTCTGGAGAAGATACACTCTCAGCAGCATGAATGATAGGCTCAGGAGCACAAGGAGAAGCTGGTGCTCTCTGCTTCTGGGAGCTCATATAATACCCTGTCCACAAACCCTGTTCTATATGTATTATCCAGCACAGAAGAGCCATGTACAAAAATAAGTGGGTTAGCTCTGTGCCCCACCAACCGAGTGCTACTGTTTCTAACTCAGACATACTGCTGTCAGCTGGGCAGGGCTGCATGCCAGCATGACTCACAGGGGTTAGGGAAAACAGGCAGGCAGTGACTGCTGTCTGGGAGTTGCTGTCCTAACATACCACTGCTTGTATCAGGAGCAACTTTGATAGAAGAAGAGAGGGACCGGAAAGCAACCCTGGATTTCTATGATTCATTGAAGTGGTAGTACTTCAGTCACTCACAGAGAGGGCAGAGAAAAACATCTCAGATTGGCAAAAAGAAGGGCGAATTGTCAAGAGAAATTGTCAGCTCAATTGTTGAATATGAAAACTACACAGCAAAGTTTCTAGTCTTATGTGATTGACAATGATAAAGTCAAGTCAGCAGGGAATTTTACAAATAAGATATGCAGGTATTTAAGCCTATACCATGGTTTTTTGTCTGTGTTTTGTTTCCACATAGTACCATCTTGAAGATCCTTTATCTGAGGACCTGGGTTTTGTCACTGTGTGCACCTGTCCTTGGAGTTGCTTCTGCCACTAACTTCACTGATAGTCTCAAGTTCTTTGACTTCTCTGGGACTGGAAGTCTATTGGCTTTTCTAATTCCTGTCAATCTACTGGAGTCCCCTTTTTAAAATCTACATGTCTATTTAAACCCTTGCTCCCTTTCAAAGGACACATGAAAGTTCCTAATGACCATGAATGAGAACTTACTTGGAAATAAGCTAATAGCAAATATAACAAAGTTAGAGTATTTTTGTTGATGCTATTGTTGTGAGACAGGTTCTCACTCTGTAGGCTTAGTTGGCCTGGTACTCACTATATAACAGGTCTTCCTGGGACTGTGCTAACAGGTGTGACAGCATTCTCTCTGTGTATATATAAAAAGAAGAAGGTCCGTGAACATGTAGCAAGATGGAGACCACTGAACAACCCACCAATAGGCTCCCCAAAGAAACCAACATGGTTTGTAACTTCACATGGGATCATAAGAAATAAACCTCTCTTGTTTAAGCCATCTGGTGGGTAGTATTTTGGTATACCAAGCCAAGACTACCACAAAACCAAATCCAACCTGCACAGATTTCCTACCATCTCCACTACAACCAACAGGATAAAAACTCCTTGCCATTCCCTACACATTTTCCTCTCCCCATCCTCATGCACTTAAAAGTGGCCACCTGCTCATTGTCTACACACACACACACACACACACACACACACACACACACACACACACACACACAAATCATGCAAAGTACTGATTCTTACCCTCCTGTTTTACTGATGGGGGAAGCTGAGGTACAGGTAAATAAACTAAGCAAGCTCTTATAACCAGCAAGTACCAGAACCTGGACTTGAACCCAGGCAGTCTGGCTCCAGAAATGACGATTGAGCTTCTCTCCTGCAACATTTCCCAGCTGGCCACAAAGCTATGAGATGCACGGCTAACCTTTACACTGCAGTGAGGACTCACTTCTACTCTTTGCTTTTCTGCCTTGTCCAAGAATCATTTATTCATGACCCTTCCTCCATGAAATAACCTGATCTTATCTTCCAACGGCCATCCATAAGTCATTTTATGCTGCCTGTTGACTTTTACTGGAGCAGTGAAAATCAGGGTGAATAATAAGAAATAGATTGTCAGGGCTGGAGTGAATGTATTCAATTATAGAAAAGGTGGAATTCCAAGTTCAGATTATTTATAGAGCAAACAAAAGCAGTCATTTTTAAATTAAAAAATAGCCAACAGGAGAAAAGAAGAACCTCCATGAGAGATGGGACAGCAGCTGAGACTTAAAAGCCAGTCCTTATTATATCAGGGATTATTAAAATCGACAGCAATCTCAAGGCTGGAGTTTCTGTTTTGGGTCAGACAGCTGAAGGTGATCAAATCCTCCAAATTAAGATGCAATGTTTAACTCAGTGAACAGCCAATGAGAAACAAGGCCAGCAGGCACCTTACCTGCTGATGTGTGCTTGAACTTTTCACTTTTCTTCTTCCTCCATTTCCAAGGCTTGAAAATCCTTCCCAGGTTGGCAAACTTACTCCTCCTCCGGATAGGCGGGGTGTGCGTGCCCGGGACCAGCGAGTCAGAACGCATTGCCGCCAGCCTCTCCACTTCCTCAGCTTGTTTTCCCCAAGAAAGCAATGGAAATAAAGAGAAGGGGGGAAAAGTGTTAAAATGGGAGTCTCACAGATGGCCATCGTTTTCCATGGTGACAGATAACAGAAACCACGTGACTTGAGCTCTGTTTGCCTTTTGGAATGGGAGACATACCGATATGTTCTGAAAGCTTGGGGACAGTCAGCCAAACCCTAGAGATCTAGAACACCTTTACTGAATTTGCTAATATTTAAAGAGGCAGCTTCTCACTGTGACATGCAGCTGGCCCCAGCCTCCAAGCCTCAAGCAACACTCCTGCTTCAGCCTCCTGAGTAGCTAGGATTATAGACATGCACCACCATCCCAATCAAATTTATTCAGCCTTGACTAAGATGGCAGGAAAGGGGATGAAGATGTCAGGGGCTCACTTGCAGGTGACAGAACTCCCCAGAGACCATCTGAATTCGACTCACAGGAGTGCCAGTGTAATGGTTCATGTGGTAATTTCTCACCCAATATCTGGCAGCTGTAACCTTTATAGAATTGTTCATTGAAAAAAAGGGAGGGAGGAAATGCTCATTTGCTGTCTGTTCTGGGGTCCCTGTCTCCACTGCCTACTGCCCTGCTGCAGTATTCAGACTCTGGAAGCACTGAGATTTGAGCAGGAAGTGGTCCCCTCCACGGTGAATGGACAATATTAAAATCACTCACACTTTCAATAGATTTTTACAATCGCCTCACTTCCTTTTATCCTGGAGGCTTGCTTTAAGATGTTTCTAGGCCGTAAGCCCTGGAGACTCTTAGAGAACACATAAGACTGACCCCAATAATCGAGTTGCTATAGTTTGGGTTTGGAGTGTTCCCCCAAAGTGCAATATGCTAAGCCTGGTCTCCAGTCTGGTGCTATCAGGAGGAGGTGCAATCTTTAGAAGGTGGGGTTCACTGGGAGGAAGTTCAAAGGTGTGCCCTTTAACAGGGTATTGGGACTGCAGCTTTTCCTCTTCCCCTCTGTTTGCTTCCTGGAAGCCAGTTAAGTGGGCAGCTTTCATCCACCATGTGATCATAAAAATGTCCGCTGGTCTTCTGCATCAAGCACAGTCCTTGAGAGCTTGACCATGTGGCTGGAGAGTTTGCCTGTTGGGGCTTGAACATGCTTTTGGCATAGGCCACCCCTTCACTCAGATACACTGATGGAATCAACTATGTGCCAGGTGGTATCCTGAGGCAGTCATACTGGTGACAAGTGACTATATGGCAGTTTCTGGGATGTAAGGGCCACCAATGTACCTGGGAAGTATATATGAATCAAAGTCTATTCATAGGTCATATGACTGACCAAGTGACCTGAAGGGCAGGAGATGAATCATTCCCGATGCCCAGATTCAGGTCAGCAGAGTGGGACCTTCATTATTAATATAAGGGACACAATGTGGGGAGGTACAGTTGGGGCTTGAGGACAATGATCTGAACATGCTGAAATAAAGAGGGCACTTAGTCCTCTAACTACAGGTGCTGTTAGACTGAGGATGGGGCTACATCCCGATAAACCGTCACTAATTAAAGTGCCATTAATTTCTAGATGCACCGACTGCATGTGACATACTTGGTGTTACTGCTCAACCATAGAGAGAACTGCATAGCACTGCTGTTTCCTCTTGTGGTTGACTTACTAGAAATGGTCCCTAATGCTGTGAGCATTGCCAGAGAGGATCTGACCCAGCATCGACAGCCAAGGAAAAAATCTCCATTAGAAAGGCAAAGAAGAGTTTCTATTTCACATGCCACACCTTCACACCACCATAAAGTTGAAAGACCCAAAGTCCAACCATGTGTAGTTAGGGACCATCGTTATACAATTTAACACATAAACAGTTCTTCTTTCCCATTGTTTGATCAACTGAACTCTAAATACTGTGACAGACAATGTGGCCACTTCCGGGGAAGACAAAACTGTGAACTAGATGTAACTGAGAGCATGTGTGAGGAGCAGAGGAGATGGGTCAGTCTAAAAACTAAGAGATGAACGTTCATTACCAGTACTGGGGAAGACCCTGGAGAGAGCTTGTGTTTCCAGGTTCTGATAGAGAAAAGCAATTTTCTCTCATGGAAAAATTAGAGAAAAGTAGATGCTTGTCAGGAGAAACACACCCAAGAGGGCTGAAAACATGGCCCCTCTTGGAACATGAAGGGACTGTACCCAACAGTGACATCAATGGAGAACTGTTATTGGAGTAGTCTGGAACCAGCTCGTCTGAACTCATCACAGTGTTTTTATTATGCATTTGGGTTTTTATATGAGAATCAGAAGGGAACGCATGGCGAATTTTAAAAGGGTACCTGACAGTACTATATATTGAATGTTCACTTTTTACTAGAGACTGGGGCTATAGCAGTACAAAGAACAGAAGGACGTACTGACTGGTGAGGTTATGCCAGGACATAGGGTAGACAATCGGCCCTGAGACTGAGGTATAGAAGATGCTAGAAGATACATGCTTTTTTTTTGGGGGGGACCCCCAAAGAATGAGTGTGATTAATGAAGGACATCAAAAGTCCTTGGAGGAGGGGCTTAGTTTTAATTGGCAGGTAAAGGCTGTCTTGTGTTTCCATGAGACATGTCCCTCAAAAGCTTCTGGTGCTGAAAGCTCAGTTAGCAGTGATTGTAGACGGGACTCCGGATGAGTACATCATAAGGCCTCTGCCACCATCAGTGGATGAGTCTATCGCCAAATTCCTAATTTGTGGCATCATTGAGAAATGGTGGAAATTAGGAAGTGGTACCTAATTGAACAATGCAGTCCCTGGGACCATGTTCTCAAAGAGATGACTGTATCTCTAGCCCCTCTTCACGTTCTGTCTCTGTGCTTCCTGGCTGTCATGAGCAGCTCTGCTCCACAAGACATCCTTGTCAGATATTCTGTCTTACTGTGGGCCCAAAGTGACAAGGGTATCTGACCACGGACCCAAATCTCCAAACTGCAAGCCAAAGTACACTATAAAAACTGTTCATCTTAGGTAATTGTCACAGCAACACAAAGGCTAACTAACACTATTGGGATACAATAGCAACAGATGTTTCCTGGGAATATCATTGTAGCAAACAAGGACAGACTCATTGGAATATAAGAAAGCAGGTGGCAAAGAGAATAATCAGAAGTCCACTGTACTCATGTTCACTCTACATAGGTAAGGCAGTGCCAGAAATTCAGAAATAATCAATACGATTCAACCAGGGACATGCTGAAGTAAGAGTGACTAAAGCTTGGGGTTTTCATGATGATGATGTGGAAAGGAAGAAGCAGGATATATTGGTAGCTCAAGGTCAAGGACTTTGGGCCCAGAAAGTGTGACCTTTTTGCAAAGGTTGGATTTTATAGATCAAGGTCTTGGGGAACAATTTTAGGAAATTTTCCAGGTGGGAGAGCAAAAACAGTCTAGTCTGTAGGGCACATGGCAGAATCCAGGAAAGGTGAGAGAGAGATGGGGATATTGAGAAGAGTGTGAGAAGTGTGTAGAATTGGAATTCTAGGAAGGAGAAGGGAAGGAGGGGTCAGCACACACAGCAGTGCTCGTCATCTCAAGTCTTCATGCACATGCTATGCTATTGAAATCCTAACAGAGGCTCACATCAGATCAGACATGGGTGGAAGGGAGAGTCCTCTAGCAGTGCTGGAGGCTGAGGGAAGAAAATGAAGGTTTGGGAGGTTTTCAATAAGTATGCATTGCAGATAGCCCTCTGCAATTACAATGGAGAGGGGAACAAGGACCTCAGAGTGGGAAACACACACAGCTAAGGAATATAATCAGTAAACTAGGACCTGTTAATGGAGAACAGGTATCTACACATAACTAGGGAGTGCAATCATTAAAACTCCAAATGCATGGGAGAAATTTGTTCCCAGTAAATGATGAGATGGTGCTGAACTGCGGGAAGTAAATCCCAAGTTTGTTACAGAAAGGAATAAGCTACAGGAAGAATCTACAGCAAGACACAGCCGATTCATTCACGACATTATACGCCAGGTACAACTTTGTACTGGTTTCATCCATCAGAAGAATCCTTCATTCTTCTAAGTTATCCATGATGCAAAGGCTATATAATTACTGTGTGATCTTGTGGCTTGTGGCAATAGCCAAGAAGGGTGTTAAAATTAAAAAGAAATTAAAAGGAGGCCCTAATAAAAATTGAAAAGGAAACCAACTAGAATGGGCAAATAAGCTGTGATGCAACAATGAATTTGGACCTCCTTTTCTTTTTAGACAGTACCAGCTGCTTGAGTTGCTGCTTCTGCAGTGGCAGCATCTTTGTTGAATCCCTGTTATAGTTTTGATCTAGACACAGAAGCAGTAAGCAGCCCCCCTCCATGTCCCCTGCAGCAGCTCCTGCCTCCAGAAGCCTGCCCTGTTTGAGTTCCTGCCCTGACTTCCCTCAGTGATGGACTGTGACAAGGAGGAACTGTGAGCTGAAATAAACTCTTTCCTCCTCAAGTTGCTTTTGGCCATGGTGTTTTATCCCAGCAACGAGACAATGACTGAAGCTGTTCTCAGCTATGTCTTTAAGCAGTGGATAAAAATGGTTCAGAAATTGTTGCATTAAAATAATTGCAATCAATTAGGAGTGCTTTTATAAACCCAGAGTGGCAAGGAGCAGAGAGAGCATGATAAAGGTATAATTATAAGTCTAGTTAAATGAAACCTTGATAAGTGTGTTATTAAACTCAAGATACTTAGCTCATAAGTACAATAGATTGCTGAGCCGACTAGGTGTAATTGATTTATATTTTAATCACTCAAATTACATTGTCACCTATTCATCTGGCAATGCGGCTATCTCTCGACCTGACTGCTCTGCCATCAGATAATGAAACTGGAAGGCACAAGGCCAACTTGTGAATACAGTTTAAAAAGGAAGAAAAACAAAACAAAACAGAGCTCAGAATCAAGTACTCTCCTGACACAGTGATGTAAGAGATAATGGGATAAAGGAAGGAGGAAGGGAAGGAGGAAGGAAGGAG